TAGTCCTTTTTCCAGTTTGGCCAACGGTATGGGTTTCAAAACATTGTTTCCATTAACTATAACAGACATACTACACGAAGACAAACACCCCCAATCCATTTACTCCACCTCACCCCGAAGCCTTTTTTCCCCAAAAAAAAGATCCAAGAGCTACCAATCAACATGATCATACGCTTTTTCAAAATCAACCTTCAAAATGAGACCATCCTTTTTCAAACCTCTAAATATTCTTCTACCACTTCATTTGCCACCAATGAAACATCTAAAATTTAACGTCCCTTGACAAAGGCTCCCTCAACTAGAGAAATAGTAGAACACAAAATTGCCCTTAATCTTTTTGATAGGATCTTCCCCAGAATCTTGTACAAAGATGTAACCAAATTAATGGGACTAATGTCACTGATCTTTACTCGATTCTCTTTTTTAGGTACCAAGCAAATGAAAGATGAGTTTGTTCACAAATTTACCATTCATTTCTCATGAAATTCCACGAAGAGTTAATCAAATCCCTCCACCACCTCCCAGTAATCTTGAAAAACTGCCATAAAAAATCCATCCAGCCATGGAGCTCTGTCATTCAAATACAGCCTCTCTAATCTCCAACTCGTCAAATGATGTCTCAAGCCACCTTGCATCAGACTCGTCAATTGGTGACCACTCAATACCTTCAATCCCTAGCCTAACAACCCATCTATCTAAATACAAATTTCAATAAAAATTAAAAATTCCACTGGTAATATGATCCTCATTATGCAAACACACCTTGTTCAACCTCTAATCTTTTGATAAAATTCTTTACCCTCTTTCCATTAGCAATCTTGTGAAAAAACTCTGAATTATTGTCCCCCTCCTTTAACAATTTTTATTTTTCCTTTCGAGCCAAAAAAATCTTCTCTAAAAATGAACTACTCAAACTTCATTTTTAGCTCAACCCTTCCTCCCACAAAGCTCTATCCAAGCCCTCACTAGCATCAATTGCATCCACCTCTTCGATTCTATGAATGATTTCTTTGTCTCTGTTAGATCTCCAAAAATCTCCTTATTCCATTCCTTCACTTTTTCCTTTGATCATTTCAACTTTTTCATAAAATTAACACCTTCCAATCCTTGGAAACTAATATTGTTCCACCATTCTGTAAAAATGTCTAAATAAGCGATGCTTCAGCCACATATTCTCAAATCTAAAAGGTGGTGAGCCCTACTTAAAAGGAACTCTCAATAACAACAGGATAATGATCAAAAACTAATCTTGAAAGTGCCTCACGTCTGATATTTGGAAACATATCCTCCCACCCCAATGAGAAGAAAAATCGATCTAATCTACTACATGCCCTATTTTCCTGAAAGTTTGACCTTGTGAATTTGGCATTAAACAAAGGAGGGTCAACAAGACTACATTCCCTTATAAAAGTATCAAAATCCCTCATGCATCTATCTAATGAAATCCCATTAAGCTTTTCCGACACAAATCAAACCACATAAAATCCCCTCCAGAACCAATTAGAAAGGGCCCCACTAATTCCTCCCACCATAATCCCCTCCTATTAGGTCTATTATAGTGGGAGTAATTAGTGAGCCTCCTACATTGTCAGCAAGTTTACCTACAGGATTTCCTTTATCAATGCCAGTTTATATTCCTTGTCCTCCACCACCTCCACAGTTTCATGATGATCAGATTGATGAAATCCTTGACACTCAGGATTGATGAAATCCTTGACACTCAGGATGCTGGTTCTTTCCAAGGTAGTTATCGTAGCTGTCTTGCAAGATGAAAGAACTGTCGAGATACCAATGATACATGAATCATAGAGGATGAGTTTTGCCGTCTTGAATCCCACATTTTTTGGAGCAATATCTTAATCATTACTCTCCGGAGTAGAGTCCTTTTCAATCGGAAAGAAATCATGGGGGTCGAGGAAAGGGAGCCAAAGAGAGATTTTAAGCGCGAGTCATCATTTGGAAGCCTAATAATTGTAGGAGATTTAGCTTTTAAGGTTTGTTTATCTTCCTGAAGATGTTGGTTCTTTCCATGGTAGGTGTCGTAGTTATCTTGTGAGATAGAAGAATTGTCAAGATACCGATGATACACGGATCACATAGGATGAGTTTCGTCGTCTTGATCCCACATTTTTGGAGCGATATTTGTAAGTTTTCTGAATGGTTTTCTGTATATTCAATTGTGTATCTTTAAGAGGAGGTCACTAATTTATATAACCCTAAACCTATGATGGAAAAAAGAAAATACGAAAAAGGAAACACAGTCAAATACCATGCCATGCCTATGATACCATGCCATATAGTTACACCACCACAATCTTTCCTAATTCTATAAACAATACAATCTTCCCTAATTCTATACACAATATATTTCTCACACCCCCGCTCAAACTCAAGGTGTTTTAGCAAAAACTACTGAGAGTTTGCTAAAAAGAAACTAAAACCGAGCGGTAGTATGAGTCTTGGTGAAGAAGTCCGCAAATTGCAAAGCCGAAGAGACAAAAGGAAGCGAGATAGAGCCAGACTGCAGATGCTGTCGGACAAAGTGACAATCAATCTCAATGTGTTTTGTCCGTTCATAGAAGACAGTATTGTGGGCAATCTGAATAGCACTGCAGTTGTCACAATAAAGGGAGGCTGGAGAAGACTGGAGGGCACCCAAATCAGATAATAAACAACGAAGCCAAACAATCTCAACAGTAGCATGAGTCATAGCACGGTACTCAACTTCGGTAGTAGAGCGAGCAACAACAGTTTATTTCTTGCTTTTCCAAGAGATCAAGGAATTGTCGAGAAACATACAGAAACCAGACGTGGACTTACGATCAGTAACATCACCAGCCCAATCAGAATCAACATAGGCCACCAAATCCAGAGAGGAAGTAGAGGACAATAGTAAACCCTGAAAGATAGTACCTTGGAGACAGCGAAGAATCCGAACCAATGCGGCCCAATGTGGAGAGCGAAGAACAAAAACAAATTGGCTAACCATATGCACAGCATAAGCAAGATTAGGACGAGTAACCGTCAGATTAACTAAGCAACCCACAAGCTCGCGATATAAAGTGGGATTATCCAATGGAACACCATCAGTAGAGTTGAGCTTCACATTAAGCTCAGTAGGGGTATCAGAAACCTTAGTATCAGTAAGACCAACACGGTGAATGACTTCATTAGCATACTTGGCCTGAGACAGAAAATAGCCTTTTGGAGAAGAGGCAACTTCAATACCAAGAACATACCACAAAGGGCCAAGATCCTTCATCTTGAAGGTGCGAAAGAGATGCTGCTTGACCTCAGAGATAGCAGAAGAGTCAGAGTCAGTGATGATCATATCATCCACATACAGTAATAATGCAACAAATCCAACTGAGGTATGGAGAAGAAATAAAGCAGAGTCTTGGGCACAACGATGAAACCCAAGCTCAGTAACAGCAGTCTGAAAGCGATCATACCAAACACGTGGAGACTGCTTCAGACCATATAGAGCACGCAGAAGGCGACAACATGTCCAGAGGAATGGTGAAGGCCAGGAGGAGGACGCATGTAAACCTCCTCAATGAGATGGCCACTAAGAAAAGCATTCTTAACATCCATCTGATAAAGAGGCCAAGAACGAACAGCAGCGACAGAGATCAAAGTACGGACAGTAGTTATCTTGGCAATAGGAGCGAAGGTCTCCTCATAATCAATATCATACTCCTATGAGAAACCTTTGGCAACCAGATAAGCTTTGTAGTGCTCAAGAGAACCATCAGAATGAGTCTTGACTTTGTAGACCCATTTGCAACCAACCAGATTCTTACCAGTGGACAAAGGAACCAACTCCCAAATACTAGTTTTCTATAAAGCAGACAACTCATCCTCCATTTTTTGAACCCAATGAAGATCCTGACAGGCCTCCTTGTAAGACTGAGGTTCTGAAAAATAGTGAATAGCAGACAAAAAAGTACGATAGGAAACAAAAAAACATATGTTAGACCAACCCAACCTGTTTGGAGGACGACGCTCACGATGAGGATAGCAGTGTGCAGCAAGATCAGAGTCGTCAGAAGCAGAAGGAGCAACAATAGGAGTAGAGACAACTAGTGGTGGGGGAGCCTTGCGACAAGAATAGACCAACAACGGAAGGGAAGAAGTAGCCGAAGGTGAAGAAGGAGCCATAGGTGACGGAGAAGGCGAAGGAAAATTAGGAATAGCCTCAGAAGGAACAGTGGCGATATCATCTGATGGGACCTCAGAAGAAAATGGGTCAATAAGAACCAAATCCTCTTTGGCAATGGAAGCAGTGAGAAGGGGAAGTTGAAAGTAAGACAGACGTTCGAGAAAGGCAACATGATGAGAGACATAAAGGCGACGAGAGACAGGATCGTAACAACGGTAGCCTTTCTGAGTAAGATTGTAGCCCAAAAAGACACACAAGACAGACCGGGTACTGAGTTTGGTCCGATCTTTACGGGGAAGAAGGACAAAACAAGCAGACTCAAAGACACATAGGAGGGAATAATTGGGAGGTTGGGAATACAGAGCCTGATAAGGGGATTGACCGAAGAGTAGGGGAGGCATGAAGAGATATTTTAAGCACAAGAAGAGTCATTTGGAAGCCTAGGTTTGTTTATACTTTTATTTATTTCTCATATATTTTTAATGTCCTTACTAGTTATGGAACGAACACAAACACACACACACACACACACACACACACATATGTAGATTGTACAAGAAAAAATAATTATGTTTGATGAATGAATATTGATTGAGAGTTTTTTTCAAAACCCTAATTGCCATTTTGTCTTCTGTGGTTCTACACCACCAAGTAGCCAGCTTCTATCGGAATCATACCAGCATTAAATGGAAGCACCTTTTAGCCTACTCCAGACATGGAAGTCACTTGCTAGCATCACCAAGGTAAACAGAGAGAATTACCAGGGTGCCCAAGAAGAAGTATGAAATCCAAATGCACATAAGACAATCAAGTTAGCAAAGAATTAGTATCCACTTACCGACTCTTGCCTAATGATCCAAGAGCACGACGCTTCAAAGGCTCCCTTGTCTTTTTAGGAGGAGTACCCAAATCACAAGGTATTAACTTTGCATAAATCGGTCTCATCGTATTATCAATCCAAACATATAATGCAATAGAAAGAGCAAGTCGCATCGACCACACCACTGCAGTTGCGCGATAGTGGAGCTGATTCAGCGCAGGAACGCGGTCACATTAAGGACATCAACATTAATAAGTTGTTGATGCAACTTTCCCCAAACAGCATTCCAGCTATCAATTGGCATACGGTCAACCACATGGCGCCGAAAGACTATTTCTTTCTTCAAATTTCCTGGTCCTTCCATTTTTCCATCTTTGTAGTATGGGAGAATCACTGAGGAGATTAAGAAAAGGACAAGTAATTAGGAAGATTTTGACGGTACAAAGAAGAAAAAATGGAAATAGTTATAAAAGTTTCAAGTGATCTGCAATTATTTCGAACAATAACTATGCACTTCCAAGGCTAAGCAAGTAGAGTCAGAAGAACTATCCAAGGACATGTGTCAGATTATTATGGAAATGATGAAATTCTTAGAACAGATGTACACTTGGATGCAAAAACAAACTCGTAATATTGTGGTAACACATGATGAAGCAATGATTTTTAGGCACAGCAGGTAACATATTCATACATAACAGATTGCCACACAATAGATATTAATGCCATGGTATAGAGGCTTAAAGACGAGCAAATTAAAGAATGTGAAGGGAAGAGACAAGGGAGAAAAGGGCAAGGCAAGTTAAAAGTCATTATTTCAAATATCTGCAAATCTATTTGTCTCCAAATTAGAGACAAATGTTCAATTTGAGGTAAAACTAAGGCATGTACATACCAGCTAACAAAAAGAAAAAAATAAGCAATAAAGAAATAACTAATAAGTAGGGAGAAGATTTTATAACCTGATATTGTCTGCCCATAATTTGAGTACTCCATAAATTGGACATTATTTGAGTCGAGAAGTCTCAAAAATTGACTGTAGTCAATTCTGTGTGAGTTTTCAGGGTCCCACTCGGATCCCTTTAATTTTCCGCGCATGGTCAGCAACTTCCTGCTCCAATCTGAAGCCATAACAAGTTGCCTTTCTAACTGAATATCAGCCTTTCTCCCAAGCTCTTCCAATTTATTTATCCGATCTCTCTCTGCATCCTTCAACTTCTGGAAACCCATGGAATGTATGTATTTAGACTTTTGTAAATGATTTAGATTAGATTAGAAAACTACTTGTCCATTAGCAAGCTAAGCTATCTACCAAGATAATCATATTTGTCCACAAAATAGAAACTGAAAAATCACAAATCAGAAACTACTATCTGCCATACAACCAACCAACCTACTGACATCCTGATTGTTGGTGATCAGACATAAATTTCTCTAGTTTAGCTTCTTCTTTTTCTTTCTTTTGTCTTCCTTTTTTTTTCTTTTTCTTTTTTTCACTAGCACTCCATTTGGATTGAGAGATGAGAAAATAAATAATTGTGGTTTCTCACCTTCTAGTTTGGATAGAATATGATTAAAATAGTAAGTTTGGTCTCTCACCAAATCTCACCACTTTTGGTGAGAAACAAAATTTAAGTTATGTTTGATTTGGCTTTCTCACCATTACTCACCTCATTAATCATCCAAACTGTTAGTGTATAATTGTGTTAGTGTATAATTGTTAATAGCTGTTATAGCATCATAGCTTAGCATTCTAGCTTTAGCACTTTATCTTTTATGTTGTAAATACTTTATGCTTTCGGTGGGAATCCAATGCATCATATTCTCTCTATAAAGATAGTGCATTCTCTTTGTAAAATAAATACACAATTACAGACAGACAATTCAGTGTCTCTCTCTCTCTCTATCAAACTATTGTTTCATGGTATCAAAGCTCAGGTATACAATTCTGGCATTTTTCAATTTTGGTGTTTAGTCCCGTACACAGTGGAACTACACCAAACAGCTCGGAATCTCCTTATGATTCCAACGGCACCACCCACGTCATCAAAAACTCCTTCACGCGCTCTCACGCGCCTCCTTTGTGATCGGCGTGTCACTTCTTCCATCGCCACTCTCACATGCGCCTTCAGGTCTGCTCCTTCGTGCGCTGCGCCTGCTACCGTGCACCCGCGTGCGCCATCCCTCTACCGTGAGCCGCGCCTGCGCCGTTCCACTATCGTGCACCCACCTGCACCATCCTGCTATTGTGAGCCGCACCTGCGCCAATTTTGCTAACGTGCGCCGCTGACATCATCTTGCATTCTGCTGACATCATCTCTACACAGCACACCTTTCCTAGCTATTTTCGACCTTCCGCTGACATCATCTCTACACAGCACACCTTTCCTAGCTATTTTCGACCTTCCGGACTCATTGGTACACTCTGTTTTATCTAATTTTGCTCCTACAGGTCTATTCCTATTAATTTAGTTCGACTCAACTAGTATTATGGATCGTCATGATGCCTCCCATCCCATTTCCGTTATTTTGAATGGTTCAAACTATGTTCTGTGGGACCAAGCCATGTCCTCCTTCCTCAAAGGAAAGAAGCTCTGGCGAATTGTCACTGGGGATGTAACTAAACCGGTGAAAGACAGTGACACTAATGAAACTACTGCTCCTACTGCTACATATGAAGACCGACTTGAGGAATGGGACAGTAAGAATTACCAAATCATTACCTGGTTTCGTAATACCTCTGTTACCTCTATTAGTCTTCAGTTTGGTCGCTTTCAGCTTTACTCTGTAACTACTCCTGCAAAAGACATCTGGGATTTTTTGAAAGAACGATACCAGACTACTGGTCTTGCCCATCAATATCAACTTCAAAACCAACTTCACCGCATGCGCCAAGAATCCACTCAGTCCATTAATGACTTCCTTTCTCAAATATACTCTGTTTGGGATCAGCTTGCTCTTTCCGAACCAACATGGCATGACCCCGAAGATGCCGTTTTATTTACTATCCATCGCAACCAGCAAAGGTTGGTGCAATTTCTCATGGCTCTTACCTCATCTTTTGAGCCCGTACGTGCCTCGCTAACAAAAAGAAAAAAATAAGCAATAAAGAAATAACTAATAAGTAGGGAGAAGATTTTATAACCTGATATTGTCTGCCCATAATTTGAGTACTCCATAAATTGGACATTATTTGAGTCGAGAAGTCTCAAAAATTGACTGTAGTCAATTCTGTGTGAGTTTTCAGGGTCCCACTCGGATCCCTTTAATTTTCCGCGCATGGTCAGCAACTTCCTGCTCCAATCTGAAGCCATAACAAGTTGCCTTTCTAACTGAATATCAGCCTTTCTCCCAAGCTCTTCCAATTTATTTATCCGATCTCTCTCTGCATCCTTCAACTTCTGGAAACCCATGGAATGTATGTATTTAGACTTTTGTAAATGATTTAGATTAGATTAGAAAACTACTTGTCCATTAGCAAGCTAAGCTATCTACCAAGATAATCATATTTGTCCACAAAATAGAAACTGAAAAATCACAAATCAGAAACTACTATCTGCCATACAACCAACCAACCTACTGACATCCTGATTGTTGGTGATCAGACATAAATTTCTCTAGTTTAGCTTCTTCTTTTTCTTTCTTTTATCTTCCTTTTTTTTTCTTTTTCTTTTTTTCACTAGCACTCCATTTGGATTGAGAGATGAGAAAATAAATAATTGTGGTTTCTCACCTTCTAGTTTGGATAGAATATGATTAAAATAGTAAGTTTGGTCTCTCACCAAATCTCACCACTTTTGGTGAGAAACAAAATTTAAGTTATGTTTGATTTGGCTTTCTCACCATTACTCACCTCATTAATCATCCAAACTGTTAGTGTATAATTGTGTTAGTGTATAATTGTTAATAGCTGTTATAGCATCATAGCTTAGCATTCTAGCTTTAGCACTTTATCTTTTATGTTGTAAATACTTTATGCTTTCGGTGGGAATCCAATGCATCATATTCTCTCTATAAAGATAGTGCATTCTCTTTGTAAAATAAATACACAATTACAGACAGACAATTCAGTGTCTCTCTCTCTCTCTATCAAACTATTGTTTCATGGTATCAAAGCCCAGGTATACAATTCTGGCATTTTTCAATTTTGGTGTTTAGCCCCGTACACAGTGGAACTACACCAAACAGCTCAGAATCTCCTTATGATTCCAACGGCACCACGCACGTCATCAAAAACTCCTTCACGCGCTCTCACGCGCCTCCTTTGTGATCGGCGTGTCACTTCTTCCATCGCCACTCTCACACGCGCCTTCAGGTCTGCTCCTTCGTGCGCTGCGCCTGCTACCGTGCACCCGCGTGCGCCATCCCTCTACCGTGAGCCGCGCCTGCGCCGTTCCACTATCGTGCACCCACCTGCACCATCCTGCTATTGTGAGCCGCACCTGCGCCAATTTTGCTAACGTGCGCCGCTGACATCATCTTGCATTCTGCTGACATCATCTCTACACAGCACACCTTTCCTAGCTATTTTCGACCTTCCGGACTCATTGGTACACTCTGTTTTACCTAATTTTGCTCCTACAGGTCTATTCCTATTAATTTAGTCCGACTCAACTAGTATTATGGATCGTCATGATGCCTCCCATCCCATTTCCGTTATTTTGAATGGTTCAAACTATGTTCTGTGGGGCCAAGCCATGTCCTCCTTCCTCAAAGGAAAGAAGCTCTGGCGAATTGTCACCGGGGATGTAACTAAACCGGTGAAAGACAGTGACACTAATGAAACTACTGCTCCTACTGCTACATATGAAGACCGACTTGATGAATGGGACAGTAAGAATTACCAAATCATTACCTGGTTTCGTAATACCTCTGTTACCTCTATTAGTCTTCAGTTTGGTCGCTTTCAGCTTTACTCTGTAACTACTCCTGCAAAAGACATCTGGGATTTTTTGAAAGAACGATACCAGACTACTGGTCTTGCCCATCAATATCAACTTCAAAACCAACTTCACCGCATGCGCCAAGAATCCACTCAGTCCATTAATGACTTCCTTTCTTAAATGTACTCTGTTTGGGATCAACTTGCTCTTTCAGAACCAACTTGGCATAACCAAGACGATGCTGTTTTATTTACTATCTATCGCAACTAGCAAAGGTTGGTGCACTTTCTCATGGCTCTTACTTCCTCTTTTGAGCCCGTACGTGCCTCTCTGCTTCATCGCCATCCATTGCCCACTCTTGAACAAGCAATTTCTGAGTTGCTATCAGAGGAGACTCGTCTCGGTACTCTTCAAACTCATCATGTGGACTCTGTTCTTGCCACTCCTCCATACCGGCCATCATTTACCCAGTGGACCACTGCCTGCCTCTATTGTCAGAATCGGGGCCTTCCTTCAACCCATCTCCTGGTCAATTGCCCCGTCAGATCCTGCCGCTACTATAACAAACTTGGTCCTGGTCATCTGCAACAGGATTGTTTTCGCAATCCATCCCGATCATCCTCCAATAGCCACTCCTCTCGCAGTGGCTCTTCCCGGGGAAGCTTTCATCGTTCCAGGAATCAGTCTCATCACACTGCTGCTGCTTCCGGAAATCAGTCTCATCACACTGATGCTGCTGCCTCTGAAGGGTTCTCTGAGTCACCTGTTCCGTCTACCCCTCGCTTTTCTTCAACGGATGTAGAGGCCATGCTCAAACAACTTCTCTCCCCTTCTGGTACACCACCTCCTACTGCTTTGTCTGTGATCCCAGGTAACTCTTCTTGGTATTTTGACTCTACCTGTTGTAATCATATGACCTCTAGTTCTACTATCTTTTCTTCCTTCTCCTCATCTCCTCATATTCCCTCAATTCATACTGCCGATGGTTCCCTCATGTCTGTCCGTCATGTTGGTACTGTTTCCACATCTTTATCTATACCTCAAGTTTATCATATCCCTGCTCTCACCTTAAACCTTATTTCCATTGGTCAATTATGTGAACTTGGTCTAACTGTCACATTTTCTGCTACTGATTATTTGGTACAGGACCCTCAGACGGGACAGACTATTGGAATCGGCCGTAAGCATGGACGTCTCTATGAACTCATTCACCTTCATGTTCCTGCCTCTCCTCAGATCGCTGCTCCTGCATCTACTTCCTCATTATCTCCCTTTCACCTTTGGCATTGTCACTTAGGGCATATTTCTGTTAATCACTTAAAGTCTTTGGTTTCTAGTGGACAGTTGGGTCATGTAATTCCCAATAATTTCGATTGTATACCCTGCCAACTTGCCAAACAACCTGCTTTATCATTTAATAAAAGTACTTCTGTTTCCCTTGCACCTTTTGATCTTATACATTTGGATATTTGGGGCCCCTCCCCTACTACTACTATGGGAGGATCCCGCTATTTTATTGTTTTTATTGATGATTTTTCCCGGTTTACTTGGCTTTTTCTCATGAAAAATAGGTCTGAACTTAAACACATTTATTATAGATTTGTCCAAATGGTCCACACCCAATTCTCCAAAGCCATCAAAAAATTTCGCTCTGACAATGCTTTGGAATATCGGGATTCAGATTTTCTTTCCTTTCTTCAGCATCATGGTACACTGCCTCATCGTTCCTGTGCTGGCACGTCCCAGCAAAATGGCCACGCTGAACGAAAACATAGGCATATTCTTGACACTACTCGCGCTCTCCTTCTATCTTCTTCCTGCCTTGAAAACTTTTGGAGGGAAGCTGCCCTCACTGCTATTTACACTAGCAACTGTGCTCCTACCCCTGTCATCCATAATCAAACTCCCTTTGAACGTCTGCATGGCACTCCCCCTCCTTACGCCAATCTTCGGGTTTTTGGCTCTGCCTGCTTTGTTCTGCTTCAATCCCATGAACACACCAAGCTTGAACCTCGTTCTCGTCTTTGTTGCTTTCTTGGGTATGGAATTGAACATAAAGGCTTTTGCTGTTGGGATCCTCTCTCTAAACGTCTTCGTATCTCCCGCCATGTCGTTTTCTGGAAGCACCAAATGTTTTTCTCACTATCCTCCTTTCACTTACCCGCACTTTCCACTACTGTACTGTTTACTAATCCTTCCATAGATCTTTTCTCTGATGATTTTGATACAGGTTCCTCCTTCATCGAGACACCCTTGCTCACTCCTTATCCCGTCCAGCCTGCTCTCCCTGAAGGTCTACCTCTCATTGCCACACCTCCTTCTCCACCGGTTCTTCCTCCCACTGATCCTCCTACGGGTCGACCACGCCGGGTAACTCAACCTCCTATCCATCTTCGTGATTATATTGTTGGATCTGCTGCCTTCTCTACTTATGAGCCTACCTCCTATCGTGAGGCTTGTACTAATCCTCTTTGGTAGCAAGTTATGACTGATGAACTCCAGGCCTTGGACAAAGCTTATACTTGGGATCTTGTTGATCTTCCTCCTGGCAAGACTGCGATTGGCTGCAAATGGGTTTACAAAATCAAAACACATTCTGATGGCTCTATTGAACGCTACAAAGCTCAAGGGTTTCAACCAGGAATATGGTATTGATTATGAAGAGACATTCTCTCCTGTTGCTCGGCTTACCTCTGTTCGCAGTTTACTTGTTGTTGCTGCTGCTCGCCACTGGGGGTTCTTTCAGATGGATGTCAAAAATGTTTTCCTCAATGGTCATCTTCTTGAGGAGGTCTACATGCAACCTCCACCTGGGTCCACTTTTCAACTGCCATTATTCCAATTCTTCCTCCAACCCAACTTCCCAATTCGCTCCCAATCAAATAACCAAACCTCCCAAACCTTTGCTCTCCAAGGAAACCGACAGCATAGGTTCCAATTCACCTCTAGCTCCTATGACTCTGCTCTTTTTATACGGACTACTTCTCATGGTACTACTCTTCTTCTTCTGTATGTGGATGATATGATTATCACTGGTGATGATCAAGCTGGTATTCTCCACCTCAAACAGTTTCTCCACCGACAGTTTGAGATGAAGGACCTTGGTACTCTTAACTACTTCTTAGGCCTTGAAGTCTCTCATGATTCTACTGGTTCCTATTTGTCCCAGGCCAAATATGCATCCGATCTTCTGGCTCGTGCTGGTCTTACTGATTGCAAAACTACCTCTACTCCAGTTGATCCTCAGATTCGTCTCACTCCTCTTGATGGGACTCTTCTCTCCGATGCTACTCTTTATCGCCAGCTCGTCGGCAGTCTTGTCTATCTCACAGTAACTCGTCCTGACATTGCCTATACATGTCGGCTCCTCGCACTCCCCATTATACTGCTCTACTCCGCATCCTTCGCTACCTCAAAGGCACTCTGTTCCATGGCTTTCACTTCTCTGCTTCTTCCTCTCTTGAACTGCGTGCCTTTTCCGATGCTGATTGGACTGGGGATCCTATGGATCGACGCTCTACCACGGGATTCTGCTTCTTCTTAGGGGATTCTCTTCTTGCTTGGCGTAGCAAAAAACAATCCCTCACTGCCCGCTCTAGCACCGAAGCTGAATACCGAACTCTTGCTGATACTACTCAGGAACTTCCCTGGCTTCGCTGGCTCCTTGCTAATATGGGTGTTTCTTCTTCTGGTCCTACCCCTCTTTATTGTGACAATCAGAGTGCTATTCAGATTGCTCACAATGATGTTTTTCATGATCGCACCAAACATATTGAAATTGATTGTCATTTCATTCGCCAGCATGTTACCTGTGGTACTGTTCATCTTCTCCCTATTGCTTCAGTTGATCAACCCGCTGATATCTTCACTAAGGCTCATCCTCCTGGCCGCTTCAATGATCTTGTTTCCAAACTCAACTTGGTTGATGCTTTCCCTCCTTGAGTTTGTGGGGGGATGTTAGTGTATAATTATGTTAGTGTATAATTGTTAATAGCTGTTATAGCATCATAGCTTAGCATTATAGCGCATCATAGCTTAGCATTCTAGCTTTAGCACTTTATCTTTTATGTTGTAAATACTTTATGCTTTCGGTGGGAATCCAATGCATCATATTCTCTCTATAAAGGAGTGCATTCTCTTTGTAAAATAAACACACAATCACAGACAGACAATTCAGTGTCTCTCTCTCTCTCTATCCTCTCTCTCTCTATCAAACTATTGTTTCACAAACAAGTGATAAAGAAACCTCAATCTCTATTTCACCAAACAAGGCAAGGCAAAAATAGGGCAGCAGTGTTATTGGAAGGGGAAATGAACTAGTGACACAGCTACCTCGAATAGCCGAGTTGACTCGGGGTCGTCTTCTTCATCTTGTTGTTGTGGAAGTTGAACCGAGTTGAAACTGGAAGTTGAAGCTCTACAAGTAGAAAGCCTGAATTTGAGCTTGTTGGGTTTGGTGGTAAGTGTTTTGGAATTGGCCTTAGAACGTGAATTTGTAATGAAAACAAGCCTGGAAGAACATAAAAGGAATGGCTTCTTGACTAGGGTTTTACAACGAGGACGAGGACACAAGGGTTTTGCAAATGTCGCCGACGCCGACGCCGACGCGTTCAACGTCATTTCTTATCTTCTTCAACAATCAACCTGCTCTCTCTCTCTCTCTCTCTACTCTCTACTCTCTACTCTCTATTTCTTATTTCCCCCGTCTTCTCTCTCTCCCCTCTCCTCCATTTTACTCCTGATTTCTTCCTTATTTCTCCAACAATTCCAACAAGCAATTCGAGTACCAAAAATATGGGGGTAAATTACACTTATAAAAATTCAATAATTTTTATAATTCTAATAAAATACAACAATTTTTAATTGATAATGAATACACCAATCTTTTTTTTTCTAAAATAATGAATACACCAATCTTTTTTTTTCTAAAAAAATTAAGTAAATTAAAATTAATTCAGATATTACGAAAATATAAAAATAAATAATCGTAATATATATATATATATATTTTTGTATAAAAAAATTTAAAAATATTATTTTTAATGCATAAAATTAACAAATTATTGATAATAAAAAAAAAACTAAATAATGTAATTTTGGCCAAAACAAAAGAAAGAGAATCACAAAATTATCCTTTCCTCAAAATTACAATTGTATCAAACATTAGCGTGGTGAAGTAATTTTAATCGTGTATTTTTCGAACAAATATGGCTTTGAAGATTTTTGTTTTTATCAGCACAATAGAAGTTCAATTTATAGTTCATTTCCTTGAAATTCTTTCATTCATTTCATTTCTCTCCAGCACCGTCTGTTTGACTGTAAAATATTTTTAAAAAAATATTTTAGGTAATTTTTAATATATGATACAATGAAAAACAAAAATCAACTACAAGTAGTTTCCATGATCAACAGAAATATAAGCCTACATGGACAAAAAAATGTTTTCTACTTTGGAAAAAAAATTCAAATTAAAATCTTACCAACATCACCACACGATACTACCACTCTCACCTCTATCACCACGGCCATTGACACCATCACTATCGTTGTCGCCGCCACCCCACCACTATACCACTACCTCCACCTACACCTTCGTCACCACCACCAAACATAGAAAAATACTCTCCAAAAAACATTTTCTAGAAAAAAAAATTCCTTAAAAAATGTTTTCCATTTAAAAATAGAGAGCAACTTGCCTCCGGTCCTTAATCGGACTGGACAATGTTGTTCGGCCCATTGAGGCCCACCACGGGTTTCGTTTTGATAATCTGAATCATTCAATATGTATAACTCATTGAGTACTATATGCCTGTAAAAAATTATGTTAATCAGATATCGATAGCTATATCATCTTATCAATTTTTTATCAACCATTAATTTGTTTACCATTTATTTTTTTTATACAAAACTGATTTGATCACATAGCTATCGATATCCGATCAACGTGATTTTTACAAATATATAATACACAACGAGTTCTACATATTGAATGGTTCAGATTATCCAAATGAGACCCGTAGTAAACCTCCACGGGCCGAATACTACCGTCCAGTTCGATTAAGGACTGGAGGTAAGCTACTTCCTTAAAAATATTTTCCGCCCAAACAAAAATAGCATTATTCCAAAAAAAAAAATTGAATCTATTAAGGCAAATCTAACCTCAACACATAGCTTGGTCATTGTTTGAAAGTTGCTCTAAGGCACCTGTTGATTGTAACCTAACAGAACTTTTACTAACAAGTTGTCATAAAATTTAGGACAAACTTCACTTTACCCTTTGTGGTTTAGACCAGATGCGGATTATCTTCTTGACATTCGAAAATCACCACATAAGCCTCACGTGATTTATGGACAAGTGCACATCTAACTTCTGTTAACAGCAATGGTAAATTGACCTTTATACCCACCCTTATCTTCTTCATCCTTTCATCTAACTTATGTTCTTCTTGCATCTTCTCTCTCTTATGGCAACAACCGTGGCATCAATCATCGCTACCAAATCACCACCTCCACTCCTCTTTATTCTCATTCTCTTCTCTTTCCACTCCTTACTTGTTGATTCACTAAATCCTTATTGATTCACCAATCCCTCATCTTAATCATCAATATCTGTAAACATCTATCTAGAAAAAAAAAAGAAAAAAGAAATTTAAAATTATATTTGATGAACTAGATGATTTGGTGATGTTTGATGAATCAGAATTTAAAATTATATTCTTTAATTCACTGTGCATATATATATATATATATATGTATCTTTGATTGGGAAAAAGAGAGTTCACTGTGTATATACATACATACACAGTGGACGATCTTTGTTAGGAGAATTGGTGAGAGTAAGGGGATGCCTGTGTAAGTGTATCTTTGGCAGTTGGTGGCAATGTTGGAACACACTTGACATGGAGATTGAAATTGCAATCCACACATCGGAAGAAAGGGGTCTGTAAAATGAGTGTTTTACCTCTCAAGGCAAATCTACACACGATGAGAGTGAAGAAAGAGAGAGTTCCCTGTGTATATATATATACATACATATAATATATATAACTTTGATTGGAAAACATTATATATATATATATAATAAAAAAATAAAAAGAGAAACAAACAATGGCATTCTAAACTAAATTTGAAGATGTATAAAGGACATTTTCGTCCTAAAAGTAGACATACTCTATATAGACGTGTGACTCCCATAACCCATTATCTTAGACAGAAAAATTAACGGTGCATTTTAATCTATAAATCACGTGAGTTATATAATAATTTCCGAATGTTAGAAAGTAATCCGCACCTAACCTAAACCACAAGAAGATAAAGTAAAATTTGCCCTAAAATTTATATGCTTAATGTGTAACAAAGACCATATACCCACAGATGGTAGACTGTGTTGCCAGAATCAAGCATTTGTAGTAATGACTAAGATTAAAAAAATTTAATGACATGTTAAATTGATACAACCTCAATAAACAAGTTGGATTAGTGTTAAAAAAATCTACCGCAACAAAAGGTCACTTGCATGATCAAGATGATAAGAATCACAACACTAATACCAACTAATGACAGACTACATCTTTCCAAGTCTGTAGGTGACCAAAGAAAACCCTGGTTTCAATACAGGCACAACTTAATTTTCTTCTTCTTATATAAAAGCAAATAAAAAATAAAAATCATAACGAAACTGGGCAACTCGATTGGGAAAACTCCCTTTTCAAGTGAATCTGTTGCCAACAAATAAAAATCAACACTGGCAGAACATTGCAGCTCTAAAAAACAAAACAAACAGAAGGTTGATTACTGATACATGATGCCTAACCTATGGCTCCTATATAAATGAAAGAAAGTGAAAATAGTGAGTCATCTGCATCATCATGAAAAGAAATGGTGCAACAAACAGTAGGTGAAAAAGTAACCAACCATATTGATATTATACAAGACTGAAACTATGAAATCCATATTATACAAGGATCAAGAATTTATTTGGCGAATGTAAGAGTTTTGTCTGGCAGTAATAAAATCCAATATGGTTGAAACATCACCATGCATGACTACTCTCCCATCTTCCATATACACAGCACCATCTGCATACTCAAGTTCTTCTAGGCGATGGGTCACCCATAATGCTGTAACATCTTTTGATTTCTGTAGAGAGTTCTTGACTGCCTTTATCACCTCAATCTAACAAAACATATTGGCAAACCAAAACAATTATTTTCAGTTAAATAATAATAACAATAATTGTTCCACTGAATTAGTAACTAGTTGAATGAATGAATTGAAGGCAAGGATGCCAAGAAATAAAAAAATAAAAAATTATGTATTGCTGCCCTTCTCAGCATCTGCAGAAGTACATGTATGCAGTATGTCACTTAGTTTTACGATCTGATTATTCATAGAAAGCAACCCCATTATGTGAAGTGGAAACAGTCAGCAGAGTCGAGTGCTGCTAGGCCGTTCATTTCTCACTAACTTATTTTCTTCTTCAATTTCACCTGCATTTGGACTCAATATTGATTGATAACACATCCTTCTAAATTGCAAGCCCACAAGCATATCAAACAATATTGCTTCAGGCAGCTAAGTGCTCTGCTTAACACGTGTTCAATTATTGTCTTATAACTAAGCTTTTGCATCCACAAGTTGACAAAGTAAATATGTTACCATAAAGGAATACAACATGGTTGCTCACATCAAATTACAATAAATACCTGATCACCTTCATCCAAAAATGTTGTGAGTTCATCCAGTAACAACACTTTGCATGCTTCTGCCAAAGCACCAGCAATGGCCACCCTTTGCTTCTGACCACCACTTAGGGTTTGAACAGGTGTCTGAGAAGTGCAACAAAAAGTTGAATATATACATAAAATGCCTCAACAGTTTTTAAAATATGTTTCATAAAACTATTGATGACATACTTTCAAGTACTCAAACATGCCCACAGCATCCAAAGCTCTTGCTAGTCTAGACTTAATTTCATCTGGGGTTAGGTTGAATTTATGAAGGCCAAAAGCCAAATCAGATTCTACTGTGGGCATCACTACCTGCAAAATAAAAGAGATCATGCCCTCTTAATTTACTCAAGCACAGTGTCACCATACAATACTAATACCCTAGCAATTTATGTTTTAGAACACAATTTGAAACATGGTGGGTACACTTTCATTCTAAAACGGTGAATTTAGCAATTCAAAGCGATCCCAAAATAATTTCCAATATAAATTTTAAAAGTTTCTTCAAGAGGGCAAAAAAATAAAATATAATAAACTAAAATCTAAGGAGAGTGGTGTTTTAGCTTGACAAAACATAAAAAATGAGTCATTATGCTTAACATATAAATGTATATATATATATATGTTTTATGACGAAGAATCTCCCCAAGGCCCTTGCAAAGTAAATCCCTGATACCTGCAATAAACCACAAACCATAGGTATTGTAAAGCCTAGGAGACACTACCGAGAGTTATGTTGGAATGTGTCCCACATCGCCTGGAGTTACGCCATCTGTGCTGCTTATAAGACTCCAGTTTTCCTCTCTTTAAGATCTGGGTTTTAAGGAGAAGTGTGGCCTGGCCTTTCCATTGGTTAAACTCAAGATATCTGAGTTTACAGTTCATTCCAGCCTCCTAGGATCTAATCCCTTCGCTGCTAGGCTACCCGTGCTGGTCACATAATGCTTAACAAAATGTGTTGTAACTTGATTAAATTGAAAAGAAAAGAAAAGGCTAAATCCAATTATTAAATGAAAATTGCTCCAGAAGCATGTTAAATTCTA